AGCCTCTAGTAAAACTTCTGCGTTCCTCTTTATTGTATTCATATCGTCCCCCAATAAATTAACATCATCAGCATATGCCAATAGCTGATGTGTCCCATTCAATTGCAAACCCTCCTGCCTATCTTGGACTTTCCTGATAGCATATTCTAGCGCAAAGTTAAAGAGCAAGGGAGACAAAGCATCTCCTTGTTTTAGACCGTTCTTGATGAAGAATGTCTCAGATACATATTTACCTACTCAAATTTTGCTACAGGTTTCATTTAAGCACATTTTTATTAGACTCACTAGCTTATTTGGTATACCAAATTCAATAAGAATATTATACAGCACTTCTCTCTTCACAGAGTCATAGGTTTTTTTGAAATCTATAAATAATTGATGTACGGTCCCACTGAACTCCCATTTTTTCTCTAGTATCTGACATATGCAAACGCTCTGATCAATCATTGATCTGTTTTGTCTGAACCCACACTGATGATCCCCAATAATTTCATTCTCATATGGAGTTAATCTTGCCAAAAGAATGTTTGATAGAATTTTGTATGACGTTCATAACAGAGAAATTCCTCGGTAATTACCACACTCAGTCTTGTCCCCTTTCTTATGAATAAGAATAATTATGGATTCCTTCCATTCTTGTGGCATCTCTTCCTTATCCCAAATTAACTGAATAAGCTTATGGATCCTCATATGCAACCCCTTGCCACCTGCTTTAATTATTTCTGCTGGAATCTTATCAATACCTTATCAATATCTTATCAAATTCCCAATGGCTAGTTCGACTTTATCGAAGCTAGGTTCTGGCACTAACAGTTCAGCTGTATGTATTTTCATCTGTATAATATCACCAGTCTCAAGAACATTAAAGAGCTGGCTAAAGAAATTTTTCCACCTATTCACAATTTTTATTGGATCTGCAAGCAGATTCCCATTCCACATTTGTTTTGTTTGTGTCCTGCAACCATTGAAATTTTGTTTGCTTCCTTCAATCTATTAATTTTGAACATTCTTCATCAAACCATGGTTTATTTTGCTTTCTCCTGTAGTATCCTAGTTTCTCTTTGGATGAAATTTTGATGCAGTTTCTGACATTCTCCCACTCCCTGTTGATATCCACACTTTCATTATCTTCAGTTGTCTCTAAAATTTGAAACCTATTCAAAATTTCAACTTGATATTGGTCTATTTACTGAAAGCTGCTCCCTCACTTTTGCTACCACCAGATAATGATCAGTGTCACAATCTGCTCCTCCGCTGCTCTGAAAATGTAGACTGGATCAGTCTGCCTCAGGATAGGGACCAGTAGCAGGCTCTTGTGAATGTAGTTTGATTCCATCAAAGGTGGGGATTTCTTGACTAGCTGAGCAACTGTTAGCTTTACAAGTATGACTCTACTCTAGGGAGTTAGTCTGGTGGTAGCAGATTAATGACATATTCACACATTTTCACAAAGAAGATGCAGTTTCCTTAATACTAAACTCTATTCCTTTACACAATTAAGTGTACACGCACATACAAAATACATGATATAATTAAGATGTACAGTATATTGTAAAGAGTGAACATTACTGTATAAACTATTGATCATAGTAATAAATATGTATATTGGCACTATGCAGCACAATTCTGAAATAGCACTGGAAATTTAATGAGACAAGAAATGAAAAGAAAGTGCAGAAGGAAATTTGTAACTGTGCAATAAACAACACAATGTTCTGAAAATACAGTGGAACATATGTAATGCAAGAAATTCAACCTGCACAGTACATAACACTGGGAAGTATACTGTTAGTTCCATTTCCTACATGCTTATCTTATTATGCTCATATCTCTTCTTTTTATAGGAAGTGTACTTTCCACATTACTGGGCGTTATGCATAATTCAGTTATTAAGGACAAATAAACAGCAATATATAAACATTATCAAACTTATATGTAACTTCTACCATATACAATAAAATCCACCATAATGGAACCTGACTATAACAGAATTTATCTCTGGTCCTGAGAATTTAGCATATAAAATATTATAAAACCACCTGTATTAAACAAAACTGCTGAACACAAAAAGGAAAAGGGAAAAAAAAGTCTGTTACTCATTTTTTACTATTTTTCTCCATGGAACTTCTTAGATCTTCAATTTCAAATTCATATAAACAGCTGTTTCCATTGGTAGCCTAACTTTATGCAAGATGGATGGCACATACAGCAACTTGGCAGGTAAATGTGAACACCGTCACCATTCATTTCTTCAAGTACAATTCTGAATCATAAACAACTGTAAGATAGCAGTCTACATTTTCCTTACCCCTTTCAGAGTCATTACACTACACACTTCTCTTACAATTATCCAAGGATTCTCATTTACTTAGCTGTTAGTATGTGGCCCAAGAAAAGATTCATGAAGGACTTCAACACGAAAGTTCAAGACACAGGCAAGCAAAAAAGAAGAAATAATAACAATGTTGAAAAACCCTAAGTGCATAAAACATTCAAAACAATATCTAAGGTACAGAATGGGTTGTGTATTATTAACAGTTCAATTAAATTAAAATGAAGGAAAATTGTACATCAGGGGTTCTCAACCCATGACCCACATGCAGCCCTCAGATGTATTTTGTGTGGCCTGCATACCTTTGTAACAAAAATTGTGTCACTCTGTATGATGAAAAATATTTACCTGATATCAGAAAACACATTTTGTTTATGTCACCAGTATCTAGCAATACCTTTCACTGGGAGAAATTGTTCACCTCAATTAAAAATAAACCAAGAAACGTTTTACTGATGAACACTTGGAGAGAAGCATGGGAATCACAAAGAAATAAATTAAATATCACACTGAAAGGTTACTGAAGTAAAAACATTGCAAAATATTTCACTACAGATTGATTTTGAAAGAGAAAATTATTGAGTAATGTGTGAACCTGTGTATATCAGTAAGTTGCATATGCTTCTCACTGCATACAGGGGTAAACAGGGCATTAACCATTTGATCCCTGTGATGGTAAAGTGTTATGTATTCTTTGAAATATGGACAGAATTCTTAAGTACTATTTAGATGAGCCTTGGCTTCAAAGAGTTGATATAATGCCATGAAATTTCAATAAATTGCCCTCATTCATAATCTATCAGCCCAGACTCATTAAGCAAGGTTGAACGTGGCCCCAACTCTGAAAAACATTGAGAACCCCTTCTGTAAATTAAGACATCAATGACATTCTATGAGTGGTTCCCTAGTACAAAGGCTAAAAGCTTTCCAATTGATACCTTGGCCAATGGTAGAGTGACATGCGAAAGAAAAACTGGGGTTAATGTGATTTTTAAGCATTTAACAGATGACTGGAGGAAAGCTTCTGAAAAAGACGGTGAATTGTTTTTAAGGAAGTCTGTGGTGAGCTGGAGATGTCTGAAAAACTGTGGCAACTGGATCGCCACATCATTTTCAATTAAGGGTTAAGACCCACAGGACAGTGCAAATTATGACATAATATAATTGTTTTTCATACATTACCAAGGAGAATGTTTGAAAAGATAAAAACCATATAGGTGGAAAATATTCAAAGAAAAGATCAGACATTTTCTTCTATGGCTCTATCTTACCTTTACTTATGTTTTAAAAACATTAATATAAGGAGCTTCCTTCATTTGAAAATTTAACAAAGGGATATGCTGTTAAAATGTATCATCAATTTCTGCCGTCACCAATAAATGCATGGGTATGTAACTACACAATAATCTTAATTCACAAGTATGTACCAGTATTAAAACAACTGCCTGTAACATTAAAAAGTTCCAGTCCCTTGGGATTCTGTTACAGACAGGTTTTACAAGACTTTATCAATAATTTATATAGTTCTTGGTAATCCACAACATTAAATTGAATACTATGCCCAATATCTATAATTATAAAGAAATGATTACAATATAACAATGGACACATGTTCAAACAGTAAGTTTGTAAACTTTATACCAGTACTACAACAGAAAACTACAATGAGCAGAAACACTTTGTTGTTTCTTCTTTATAATTTTCTAAAAATTTAAAAATATATCTGAGAGTTAATTAGCAATTATACAACCCAAGAGTATATATTTTTGTAACAATCTAACATTTCAAAACTACAAATGTGAACATGGATATGCACAATGCACCACAAACCAAGTAAGATATGTGAGTTAAATCACTTTCGCAATTAGACTTGCTTGTATAATTTATTTGTCTTTGTTTTATATCACATCAGACAAGAACTTCCCAAGATGGCTATTATTTACATATGTATCAACTAGCACACAAATGCAACAAAGTAGATGGTAGACTGTCCTGATGACGGTGGCAGAAAGTACCTCTACAATTCCAGTAAACTTCTACTAAACTACACAATACTACAACTCAGAAAACAGCCATCTACGTGTTTTACATTAATCTACCATACTTAGAAGATACTCCAATAATTCCTAGTCCACTTTACAATCTTATAACAGCAATTCGTGATGAAGCTCCTGTACTGTAACACCCTGCCATAGTTATGTAGAATACCTTACAGTAGTATAGTAGTATGGAAACAAGTGGAACACAGTCTAGAAATTTCAGATGTAAAACACTGATTCATGGTGAACATAAAACTCTGGGATCTAAATCTGTTTTCAAAAATCCATTTTCAAGCTTATACATCTTAGAGTTGGTTTGTGGTAAAAATATTTTCCCCAGGCCCTTAAAAAATAATTTATCAGAATTATAAAACCCAGTTCACTGATATCTACTTCAATGCACGTTTATTGTAAAACACTCAACAAATTATGAGGGTCTGCTAGTACATTACAACATGCAAAAAACATAGAAAGCAGCTAAATGAACAAAATACAGCAGAATATTGGATTTTTCTATCTCTTACATTTAAGAATGTCCATTTATTTGGTATCAATATTGATGTGTGAATATTAAAATGATGGAATGAAGAGGAGGAAAATTACGAAAATCCAGTAGAAACCAGTCTATAAACCTGCTACAGAATGAAATGCAAAACTATTTCTCATGGATTAAAAAAAATAAGGAAAACTTATGGCAATATTGTAAAAATATTCTTGGCGAATAGCAACTAGAACAACGCATCTAACACCATACACAGTGAAGACAACACTACAGTCAGTTACATTAAACATCATCATACTTGTCCTTGAGCTAACTCCACAATAAAATATCAAACCATTTGAGCCAAGGTTTGCCCTGTTTAATCAACAAGGACTGCCTATATTTTACTGTACTTGAACACAGCATTTCACCTGCCCTTGATATATCACAGTCTATTGCAGGCCAAACAAAGTGATACATAACATGAAAATGACACACAAAGGATCAGCTCACTTCATTCCATGTGAAAATTATATGAATCAGATATCTCACGAACATACTCCTTTGGGAAGAAACCAACCTGCAATAAAAACACGTTTGAAAAAGATAGGAAACATTAAGAAGCTTACAAACAACATAACCTTCAAATTTTATTTTGTTTTATCATTCTTCTTTGTTCCTATCTCTTTACCTACTGGCTGCAATGGGTCACCCAGTCTGCTGAATACATGTAATCCTCTGTACAGCCGGGCAGAGATCAATTCAAAATGATACAATGTCTTTCCTAAATGATGAATGGAAGGTAACATTCCTTTTACTTGTACAAGTAACAAATCAACCATGTTCCAAAATGTTGAAAATGACTTCTGTCCTTAAAAACAGAGTTAAGACATTATGTCGGACAGCGCAAAATTAATTCATGAGCAGCTCAATGTAAAATACACATACTTTACACTTATTACAAACAAACATTTATCAGCTGTACATAATCTGCCAGTTTCACAGCATACTTCAACAAATATACATGGCCTCTAGTTATTGCCTTTTGAATTTATATATATCCCATCTGGAAACAATTCTCAAAACAATCTTCCAAAAGTACCTTCAGTATGCCTGTCACATTGTTCCAAATGAATTCAAGTGACTCAAAGTAAGATTCTATGAAGGAGATATTTCAGTTCAGGACCATGATACAGTCACACATGGACATGATCCTTTCTTGGCTAAAAACCACTTTACCGTAAGTGCTATGTATGGAGGTGCATTGTTATAACACAAAATCGTACCCAGTCAGAGATTTGAACTTTCTCAATTAATATATTGCAATAAATATAACAAAATCTGAAAGCAGAAATGCCTAGTTAACTGTTTTAGAGGGGAAGAAATTCATGGTGGGTAATATAAAACAAAGCATATTAGAAAGGTTCTAACCTTCACACTTCACTGGTCATAAAGAATAGGGCTGATCTTTACTGGACACTGACATTTTGTTTCTGAGTCATACTGGAAGACCCAAGTCTCATCAACAGTCATTATTTTGTCCAAAGCTTCAGCTCTTCTAACAGTCTTGCTCAAAGGTCAGAACATTTTGTTTATTTAAGGCAAGGAAAGAAAACACTATATATACGTATATAGTTACTGCAACCACAAATAAAACTGAATCGTAATTATTAAACACAAAACTGATGAATCTTCCATTCCAATTATCTATTCTGTTTGAATAAAAATTTTCTTGGATATTTTCCATCGTCTAAGAAATAAAATAGAAAAACGACGTTTCGGAGATGGAGCTCAATCTCCGTCCTCAGGTACCTACTCAGTTGGGCCCAACAGATAGAGCTAATCCCTATCTCTGGACAAAGTAAAGAAATGAAAGTCCCAAAATATAAGATCACCACACCATCAATCTGTAGGACGTAAAAAGACAACACACTCCAAAACAATTTATAAAATACATATAAGTGTATAAGAGAACAAATACATGAATCGAACAGAGAAGAAATAACGGGACAGAAAAAACACATAACAAAAGGCTAAAAAAGGAAAGCTATCCCACTACATGCCAGAAAGGACCCCCAGTACCCACTGGACAGGAGGCTGAGTAGGCTCCAGAGCTGATGTGGTTGCAAAGGCTAGAAGAAAATCTTCTGCCTGTTGGGGATCAAACCCTGATCATCCAGCCCATAGCCACTATATTGACTAAGCTACCCGGATCTTCATAACAAGGAGTTCCATAATTTATATTTTCCAATCATTATTAGGGTTATCAAATCAAAAAACATGAAATGGGTGGGACATGTAGCATGCATGGTATCATAAAGTATGCAGTCCAGAGCCTCACCTGACTCTTACAGCTTGCAGCAATAGCTCTATGTCTGCTGTCCTAGTATAAAGCAAGGAACAGCTTGTCACCTTTTTACCTTCATATTTCTTATATTTACAAAACATAAGGTTACACAAAGTGCCAGATGCTATGCTTTTGAACAAAGGAACCATGTAAAACAATGAACACAAAAATTCTTACGATGAATGGCTGGTGTCTGCCAAATTATAATCAGCTATCTTCCAAATATATGGCACATGTAGTACCAAAATATAACTTTTGTGGTCAAAAATCAAATAACAAATACAAGTCACTGTGTGTACTCACCCTATCCTGTATCTTGCCTTTCCACCAGCCCTTGTAGTCACCCTCTTTGCTAAGCACAGTCACCTGGCAACCCTTCTTGAGTGGCAATTGATTGTTCTCAGCTGGGTTGAAGTCGAACTCAGCAACAGCAATTATTCGGCGAAAAGGCCATTTTAATTTAACATCCAACCTGGGCAACAAGAATATGTTGGTTCTCTGTTGCGTTTAAACGTTTCTTGTACTTTTATTAACCTTTTCCGTAAATGAATAGAGGATTTAAAACTCTGTATTTTGAGTCAACCAGTTGGACTTGAACTCCAAAGTGCTCGTGCAACACATATTGTGATGTACTGCATATAAACTGCAATTCTGTCAATAAAGGTTAAAAAATACAGAAATTTGAAACATCAGACAAAATGCATGGACTACACAGTGCCACATCCTAGAAGATAGCCATCCTGAATCAAAATGTTGTCAATCTGATTTAAATGATGTTAACATTTCACTATCCAACTAAACATCTGATGGGGTAAAAATATGAAAATATGAAAATGGAGAAATTATGCAGGATTTAGCAAAGCACGGGAATACAGAGAAGATAAGAACCACATACTTTGTCCACAAGACGATCTCTCTCCCAAATCAATAATTATGTTACTTAAGAATATCCAAAAATATGTTGTAATGTCTGGGGCTTGACAAAACCCTGTCTGTCATGATACTTACATGCAATGGGGTGTTAGACATGATACTAGTTTACCAAAAAAAAGTATGGTACTGTGAACTTCTACATACCCAACAAAATTTTCACTTAAGCTTGCATGTTCATAACAGGTGATAAGTTCCATGATGCTCTTGAAGAAACGTGATTCTGATAGGTAATAGTGGGGAACTCCCTCCATATGCTTCTCATATACCTTCATATGTTTCACCCTGTCATCTGTTCTGAAATATTTTATCACAATTCACACATTAACAAATATATTAATAGTAGCAGCATATCATTAGAGAGGACTCAAGCCCAAAGAATAAACTTGAATATCCTCTGGATGTACTTTACATAAAACCTATTACTCTGAAAATAGTTGCACATGATGTGTTTAAAACAAATAGTTATCACAAATTGGCAATTATAGCAATTGTGCAGTCAAAAGCATGTAAAGCATTCTAAGGCTCAATGACTGTGATTTTATGCTTTAATCTTAGTCAGGACATGGATATATGTCAGCTTTTCTGAGTGTTATATTATCCAATGTAGGAAGAAGCCTTGAAATTTGCCAGTTCACTGTCCAAGGAGCACTTCAAAATGTAGTAATGTAATGTTAATTTACTCTGAAGTCCAGTTCATACGGATGCTACAGCCAAGTTAACAAGAACAGTGTAACTCAGTACTTACTTCAAGCTGAGAGCATAAACAGTCTCATCTGGATGGGTAGGCCCTTGAGGTCGGATTCGTAACAAGTATGTACCATCTGCAAGTTTGTCTAGCAGATTAGTCGCCTTTTCTCGACCCATCTCGCCAACAAACCTGTATCAAATACAAATCATATGGTATATTTAAAATTTCTTGTAACAAACAAGTTAGGAAATGTATACATTCAATGTTATTGCCTGTATATTTTAAATGTGTGCTAACCTTCAATGCTTTCTTATAAATGACAAACAACAGATAACACAGAGAAGCACAGTCCTCTAACATAAAATCTGATCACTATTAGTCCAATGGTTCTCAAGCTATGAGATGACACAGCACAGAAATCACTTTTCATTATCTGGAGAACTGAAAGGCTTGTGGGAAAAAGTATATTGGGCATGAAATGTGCATTTCAATCTTCTCTACAACTTTTCATCCAAACACTATTTGCTCCAATAAATATTTAACTAGTTATATTCTAGATGCACATAGAAATAGGTGAATTTTTGCAACCTTGTTGCAAATGCACATAAATTTTCAAACTTAAGACAGAACATTTAAGTAATAACAAAATTTATATTCCATCCCAACATTACCAAAATGTTCAAGCTTACAGTAAACTGTACACATCATAAATATTGCTATAGCAAAGACATCCACATAAAAATCCCTGAGCTCTGACAAGAGACAATGACAATTACCAGATTATCAGACAAAGTTTAATTACTTCTGACTCCATTAAAAGGTATGAGATCATCTCATAACTCACAAATAAAGAAGAATGCTAAATGTGGTTCTGGTCAAGAGCAGGAATTTCTGACAGTCAGTTCACATCAAAATTAAAGTCAGGCCTAAAAATAAATATTTCTTTTCTTGTATACAAAACATGTTTATTCAGTATATGCAATGCAGAATTCAAATTGTATGTATAAAACAGAAAATGTAAAGTTAATCTGCAACTGGTTCATGTCTTAATGAAAAGAGAAAACTTGCCATAAATACTCTCCAAGAATGGGGTCTGGCCAAGGGTCTGGAGGAGACTGAGTAGGCCTTTGGTGACGGTAGACAGGCGGCCGAGGTGGTGGAACAGGAGGCTGTGGATGTCCACAGCGCCCTGAGTACTGAATGCATGTCTTGTGGCATGCAATAGAACATCTATCACATCTGTAACCCTGTATAACCAGAAATTCAAACTATTAATTCTGCTTGTCTGACAACATTTAATTTAAAACCAACAATAAATTAACCTTTTAACCCTTCACTATAGCCAAAAACAAAACTCTCCCATACCTCATACCTAAATGCCTAATATTAATGATTAAACAAGTTCACAGAAGCATTCAATATGCTTAAATAACATGAAGATTTTTAATTGTCTTTACAAAGTTTGTTGGAGACAAGGAACTTTGAATAAAAATGAGAAAACACTGAATTACAAGACTTTTATTTCATATTATATTATAAAATACTAGACCATGTAAGAATTTCTAAAGTGAGACCTTCCTGCATAATTAATCTATAGTTACAACTTCCTTTATTCATTTCCTCATACACATAACTGCATTTAACAAAGATTATAAATTATAAAAAAATCACTGTATAACTCAGTCGTTCCATTTGGTAAAGCTTTAGACATGTGAACATGTGCATATATACAAATACTATTCCCTGATTAATGAAATTCCAGAGTTGTTCTTTCAGTATTCTACTGAAGAATACAATGCAATCTGCCTTTGGGCAGTAGCATAACTGAACACACTCATCTGTGTTACAGAACATGCAGAATCCAACTATTGCTAAGGATTGATATACGAGTTTAAACATCTCAACACACACAATCATACACAGCTAAACAAACAAGTGAGTGAGTATTCAAGAAACATCAGCTGCACGACGACAGTATTGTGAATAAAATAAACAAGAAAACGAAGATACATTTCAGTTACGGTAAAGAATCATGTTCAATATTGTGATGGATAGAAACTGACAGAAGAGGAAATCATAAAATATAGATCTAAAAATTGAAACATTAGATGATCTGAAAAGGAAATGGAAGGAAGGAGCAAAATTATACAATGGGACATGATACACAGAAATATGTAGGCCAAAACATAAAAATTAACTTCTGCTTCTGTTCCCTACAAACAAAACAGCTATAGAGAAAATCACATAAAGAACATATATGAGAGAAAAATATCTCTTCAGAAGAAAGATAATGTGCCTCTACAAACTTCAGAGATTAAATTCCTAAATACAACTGAGAAGAAATCAGAATGAGACAGACAAGCACAATAAAGTGGATGTGAAGTGTCTAAAGGAGGCTGGGGAGCAAAAGAGTGCCTACACATTAACATAAACAAGAAATAAATTGTCACATAATGGATACATAAGCCTATGTATACTCTACACAGTATTATGACAGAAGAATAGTCTTTGTAGCAAATTTCTAGTAGCTCAGTTCAATGGGAATGAAGGAGTGCTGAAGAATGCAAACATATATACAGCATACTATATAAAGTTTTATTTTTCCTTTCATAAATCACCTCAAAGCTTATAAAAATTTACAAATATGCAAATACATCACTTACCTGAAAAATCATTCCTTTTAAAAATTTGCTGCAGTAGTTACAGGTTGTAGGCTTGTCAAATGTGTGCATCACAAATTTGTGGTCTGCTTTCTTGCAGCCATTTGGTTCAATGTTATCTCTAAATTAAAGAACGTGATTAACATATGATTTAACCAAAACTATTTTGTAAAATTACTGAGAGCACTAAAACTATTTATTTACATCCAAGTTCTAGCTGTGTATAATTCTTTAATTTGTGAACAAATAATATATAGAAAAAAAGTCATTAAACAAACTGTCAACTGGTCATTTGAAACACAATATATCAAAATAATGCTTTACAATAAACAAGTACCGTCAACAGTACAGCAATTGACATAAACTTTTAATGTTACTATGTAAAGTGAAAACATAATTATACATACTGAAGTAGTAATAAAATATCGTTCAGTATTTAGATACTTACAGAGCCTCCTGAATAGCCTTAATCCACTTGCGCTTCAGCTCATCTGTGCGAGCATACATAGTATATGCTGAAATTTCATTCCTCTTCACCAAATACCACTGGAAGCTCATTCGAGTATCTTTATTCACAACTCGACGATTGCTCACATCTTCTACTTTGTACTCTGACAGACGAAGAGACTCTCGATAACTATATTGGTCTCCCTGCAACAAAACACAAGTCATGATATTTGAGTGTTCTCACGGCGCTGATGATAATGTTCTGGGTTTTGGCACCATGTGGACAGGTCGGTATTATTTATTTATTCATTCATTCAGCATGCCCCATTACAAGATTGTAATATTACATGCATTAATGTATAACACGTTAACAGATTACACAATTGTAATATCGTGATTCATTGCCACCGTTTGTACCTATGTTCCTGTGCTAAACTGTATTATAATCTATGGATTTAATGAATGTATTAAAATGACCTAAATATTTTTGAACAAGTGCTTCATGTAACACTGGCCATGTGCCACCATTCTTGGCTATTGCATCTATTAATTTACGCCTTGGTTGTTGTAGTTTTTCGCAGTCATAGATGAGGTGATCCACTGTTTGTACTGCTTTCAGACATGAGCATGTTGGGTCATCAATGATCCCAAACCTGTGTAGATATGATTTGTTTTTGCCATGTCCAGTCAATATTGCAGTTAGTTCGGGACGTATTACAATGTTTAGCTGCATTCGTTGTCGCACTGATGGGAAGAATTTCTTGCACACTGCTCCTTTATTGGTGGTGTCCCACTCATTTTGCAATTTTATAATCCCTTCTTCCTTTGCTTCTTTAATAATTGTACTTTTAGGCTTCTTTGCATATACTACATTTTCACCATTTTCTGCTGCTGCTGCCTTCGCTAATCTGTCTGCTATTTCATTACCGAAAATTCCGATGTGTGCTTTGATCCACCCAAAATGAACAGTCCAATTTTGATCATCGAGTTTCCTTAATTTATTTCTTATCTTAGACATTATGAAGCCGTGTTTGAAGTTGTCTTTTAGTAGATCGAGAGAAACTTGACTATCTGTGTACACCGCTACTATTCTTTCCTCAATGCTGACGTCCCTTAAAGTTGTTACTGTGTCCAAGGCCTCTAGAACAGGTCGGTATGTGCCAATGTTTTGGAGAAACATATTGTCTCCACCTTCAGCGGCATCTACCAACCAGTCCACATGGAATCAAAACCCAGAAGAACATCACCATTAAGATATGAGTCACACAAACAATGGACCTACGGTATAAAGAATGTTTCACTGGTACAGAAATGTTATCCAGTTATTTCCATCTGTTATGCCCTTTGTTGCCCTGCTGACATCAATGCCTATGATGTGATGTCGTATGATCAAATTTGTAATTTGTGTCACTTGAGCTTCCAAATCCACCTGAGGTGCTACCTACACTCACAGTTGATAAAATGGAGTCCAAAACAGAAAATGCTAAATGTGTGCAGTAGTTTCATGAGTCTATATTTATGGTCGCGTTGAAAAGGATATTTTATATGGTGTTGGAAGTGAACTACCAACAAAAATGTTGATTTACAAGTGGTACAAACTCGTTGATCAGACCGGCTGTGTAAGAACAAAGAAAAAGCCCCAGGAAACAACCAGTGACTGAGGTTCAGATAGATAGTTTGTGTGCCTTTCATTCACATTCCACACATTTCAGTTTGACATGCTGCTCAACAAACATGTCATATACAACAGTGCACAACATTATGCAGAAACATTTGAAATTTAAAAGTTGTAAGTACCAATAGCTGCAAGATACAACTGCTAAGAAAAAGAAGTTATCTACACATTTTGCACTGACTTTCTTTCAAAACTTGAAGATGACAAACTTTCTATAGCCAAAAATTGTCTTGTGATGAAGGAACATTTTATTTTTTGGGCAATGTCAATCAATGTAAGCTTAACTTGCTTGACAATATACGATCTGAAACTGAACGTAAATACTGCCAGGCCATCAGGGTGCCCTTATTGAACATCTGTATAATGTAAGTTACAAAATCTTATTCATATAGCTTAACTCAAATGCATTTAGTTTTCATTCTTGTGCCTTTTACTTTATGAGCAGTGTTAAAGTAAAATGATACACATTTCATGTGTACATTCTGTACAAGATCAGCCCCATGGAACAACATGGAGATTTGTAAGCTAGAGGTCTTGGTAAACTTACCCTCATAGATTTACACATCAGCATTACTTGATCAAAAATGAATACATATCTGAAACAAACAGAGAAAGTACACTTTTCTGTGTTTTCCTTCCATCCTGCTTATTAGTAGAACCATCCATTTCTTATAACAAAGTTAAAAACAGAGACATATTTTACATTTAACATGGAAATAAAGTTTACAATTCATCTTTTAATATCATTATGTACTCATAAACATAAAATCCTGACTTAGTAATAAGAATTAATACAATCTCACCAACACCTATATGTAATAAGATTAAACACAATTAACTTATGAAATCACACATCTTAACTCTTCATTTACATATATGCAGGGTGGTGCAAGAAATAACGCCAAATTTCTTTTGACTGAGTAACAGAACGTTTGTTATGGATGATATTTAAATCATGCTGGTGAGTGCAATACTTCAAAGAGATCCTACTTGGTGGTTTAAAAATGTCAAATGGCTACCAAGAGAGTGTACAGTGACAGTAACAAAGATGGCTGAGCAAAAGGCAATAAATGTTTTGTTTTTTGATGAAGCAAAAATTACTGTGGCCAAAGACAGATTTTTTATGCTGATTTCAGGATGTAGGCTCCTCCTCAAAAACTCTATTCACAAGCTCATTTGACAGTCTCAATAGGATGGTTCAGTTCTCAAATTGCCACAGCATATTCAGTTTCAACTGATGACTGTGTCACCACTAGACATACAACTGAAAAGTTCCAAAACACCAGACTGATGTATCAAGGAATGGTACTCTATCTAGTACCTATATATATATTTGGGACACACCAAAGTAATTATTTCTGGTTATCATCATCATCATCACCACTATTATCATCCTTATAAAATAAATAAATCCATGGCGTAAGAGCTCCAGAGAGCCAAAGCTGACTAGCTTGACTGCTGGTCTCATATTCACATGCCTAAGCAGAGGTGAATGATCATCCAACCAGATATAGGGTGACGTGTGGTCAGCACGATGAACCCCCAGCCATTGCTAGTTTTCATGACCAGATTACGCTACTCATTGTAGCTCCCCAAATTCCTCACGATGCTGGGTTGGCACCGGTCCCATACACTGGTCGAAAGCTCATGAGAAAATTTCTTCTCCCCCGAGACTCGAACCAGCGCGCATTCTGTATCGCCGGTCCGAAGCATGATGCCTCAGACCGCGCGGCTACGGCGCGGGACATTATCATCCTTATAATCAATGGATTATCTTGATATAGATTCTGCTCATATGTTGTTTGGGATTCTCAAGTCCCTGTGAACAAATGCTGGTTATGACAGCTGGCATTGTATCAGATCTGAACCAAATGTTGGAAGAACAACCACAGTAATTTAAAACAGACAAGAGTCACTACAGTCAGCAAACAAAATAAATCACAGACATACCTCACTTTGATCTTCTGGTCATCATGAGCCTTTATCCGTAACTCCCCATCCTTGAGCAAACGACCATAATCTTTCAATTCAGTATTCTCAGGCATGTCCCAATCTATTATACTTTCCTGCAAATATTGTAACTAATATCATACAGATGTATAAAAACACATGCTACAACAATGTCTAGAAGAATATATGCTGTTTACCTGAATGGACCGCATAATTTGCAACGTGTCACTGTCTCGCTTTACTTCATTTATGTACTGAGCAACATCTACCATGGCTTCTTTGGCTCGCTCTAGCCCCCGGTAGTCCTCATGATTCTACATGTAAAACAGTGATCATTAAGTGTACAGGTACGATCAACAAGACAGGGTTCCTATGCACCAGTGACAGCAAATAGGCCATATCTAAACCACTTATTATAACATAAACTTATACGTGTAAACTTACGATCTCATCAATAAACTTCCATAGGTACGCATGCAACACTTGCTAAATTTAGATTTGTGATCTGCAGTATTCATTAAATGAGTTTAAAACCATACTATGTACCGCCAAAAACATTATCACTTTCTCCATTCTAAGCTAAAACAGACAATATTTATGTAAGATGTCACACACAAATCTCAGTTTTCTTCCACTTCCATTACTTATCTATCCTAAAAATGTCCCACACAATCTGTACATAAATTTAGTCCTTTACTATTACATAATTTGACAAACAGTGGGTTGTCAGTCACTTTGTAAAACAGAAAACAAAATTAATCTCTTGATAAAATCTAAAACAGCATATGCATTAATCAAATAGCATGACCTTCACATGTGTATGCTCACAAAAGAAGTGCATTTATTTTCATTCTGTTAAAAATTACTACACACACGTATTTTCACTCAGTTAAGCATTTCACACATCTATATAACTCATGCATGCATGGGCCCTCAACTATGTAAATAGACATTCACAGTGAATATCCAATATGCAGACAAACAGACCAAACATCAAGTTTTCACAAAAAACTCTTTGTTGGTATAAACAAAAATGACTAAACAGCTGGATACTGTAATTACTAAACACTACCTACTTACTGAATAAATATACGTAGTTTATTAAACAGTAAAAGCACAGCTATTATTAGCATATGCCGACTTTTCTTCTGACGTGTATTTTCAAATGTTCAGGAAAAGCAAATTACTTTATATAAAATTACCTTACCAAGTACCATTTGATTTAACAAAGGAATTTTCTCTGGTTAAATCACAAGACAGGGAGTTTATTTTTGCATTTAATCTGTAGCTGACTTTTGACACACCCGACAGTTTGCAACAGAAAGATACATTTCATGGAAATAAAAGCATTCACTGCAAAACAGAGGAATTTGCAACTGTACTTACAAGTTGTGTTTCACTGATTAGCTTATCCAGGAGTAAATGATATTTCAGTATCCTCTGCATTGGAACTGACAAGATATCACGCAACTTGAACTTGCCATTATTAGCATCCTGCTGACACCTCTACAACATGAAACAAATGCATATCTGTTGACATATCTTGTACACTTAATTCCCAAAAGAGTGTAATATCCAATTCCCTTTCAAGTGCAATCTTAATCTATTAGTTACAAGATTCTGTACTCTGCCTTTAAAATTATTTGCCATACGTTAAAATACATAAATTTAAAATTTGTACAATTCTGTGGTACTGCCACATTTTCTACTTCAATATTGTCATTTGTAATGATGAAGAATCTTCAAGTCTGTTTTAAGTCTTAGCAGTTCTATTCATTCATTTCTGTGTTCGCCAATTCAACCTGAACAAAAGTGTTATAAAGTTTAAATTTTCAAATTGTGCATACTGTGCAGTTAAATTTTAGTTACTAAATGTGTTTCTTTTCACTGATTAAAACATTGACTGGTGACAAATAGTTCAACTATTATAAATATTAACCGCTAAACAGCAATGTCATAACTGCCTATCCCCTTCCAAATGTTACAAAGCATTAAATCAGTTAAAAAAAACTTACAATAACTTCCTGATTGACAAGTTCATTGCGGTTACACACGTCCTGAACAAGAGCTTGAGCATTTGTAAGATTGGCACAATATTCCCCATAGATGAGGAATTTTTCCCTCCAGCTAAGGAAAACTTCACTAAGACGAGTAGTGCTACCTAGAGCAACAGCTTTACGTAACTGACTGTGAAAATCTGCGTGGATTTCAGACAGTTCCTGTTAAAACAAATGTACAGCAACAATTATATGAAGAAAATAGGAATGGATTATACATATGTTCAGGTACACAAAAATAAAAAGCTGAATAATTAACTGATTTTATTACAAACAATAAATATAAATATTGTGTTTTACTCCTAATATGAATATACTGGAAAACCATTACAAATCAAAATCCCTCTCTAATGAACCAAAATATGGAAACTGCAATACATACTACATCCATACAACCCTTTCCTATCCATGCAAAAAATTTCCGAACACATAAAGCAATGTCATATGAATACCTTTATTACAGTGTGGATGCTTTATCATTAATGCAGTTATTTCAAATTGTTATAAATAAGCATTTTCATATATCTTTGCTGCATCTTTTGCTGCTGCCTCCCCCCCCACATGCTATTTATTCATCTCATCATTAAACTCCCTACTGTCACAGAATCCAAAAATCATCAAAGCCTAATCTTAGTCAATTCAATCTAGTTTACAACACAGCTTATTTCTTCCTTCAAGATGAAATTTTATATTATCATTCCATTAATGTTTACAACTCACAAACAGTTTTCTCCTAGTGTTTTTGAACCAATTACAAACACACTGCATGCTAAATTACTTCATAAAATTATTACAAGTTACTAGTTGCACTTCTCCACACTTGTTACCTGAAGGCTTTTAGCAAAAACATACATCACCCAGAAGATAACAAACTTAAATGGGTTTTCTAAAAACTCTGTTTTTCTTCCATTACAAAGTTAAAACTTACCTTTATTCCTCCAAATATAACTTTCATGTCCTCTTCCCTGAGCAAATTGTTTAATTGCCTCATGAAACACCTATGTAATGTTGTCAATACATCAACATAATTCTTCTCTGTTTCTACCAGTTCCTTTATAACATAGTCACGTTTCTCAAAACTATGTGGTATTGTGGACGGGCCCTGAAACATAACATTAATAAATGATCAGGATCAACAATGAACGTACACTTCCGCTTTTACTCACTGATGCCCTAATTTCAAGTACTTCAAGTTTACAGCCTATTATCTGCTAACAGACAAAACACTGTCAAGGTCAGGTAACACCAAATTTGTTTTTAAGGAAGAAAGAAAGTGTTTAAGACTGACTACTCATGACTATATCTTATAATGACCTGTACACTGAACAGGAACAGCAAGGAAATTTGTCATACGGTTATCTTCTGAAGTCATTAGAATGCTGACACCAATTAATGACGACATCACATCACCTGTAGTTCTGCACGTCGCCCCATAGCACAGAGATCCTGGTAAATCTCCTCGTTGCGGATACTTGAATAGTAACTCCCATACTCCTCATTCTCGGTAACTGTATTTGATGGGTCATCACTGTCACTATAACACATGCGCACGCAACACAACAGCTTTAGTTACTTGCCATGCAGCAAACATTTAGCAGCCTTGCATCAGCAGCAGCATGCAATGCCACACTCTACTGCAGTGGATCAACCATCGTTGGTAAAGACTCATCTCAACATTTTGATACAACTATGAAAACACACTTCCAAAAGCTTAAACTGCATGTAAATAAACATGTAGTTTGACCTAGAAAGTAACACATATCACATCTTCATTCTCATAACTCACACAAACATTTCAGACCAGCAAATGAAAACCTGCAGTTTGTTAAATACATGGTAAAGACATACATAAATAATATTGTACTTAAAATCAATAAATTTAAACATATGTAAAACATATCAAGTTTTCAAATATAAGAAATAAATGATTCAGTAGAGTTTCTACCCTGCTATTCACTACTCTTCACTCCAAATGAAGTACAAAAGTATAAATTCTGAAAAATTCATTCTACATATAATTAGCAACAGCGGAAGTTGTGGCACATCAATGCATTCCACAAGTATGGTCATAAGAATCAGAAGTAGATAGACAAAAGAATTTCCAACCCCTTTTCTATACAATTTCTTAATACCCATACTGATTGTTCACATATTACTAACAATTTTGTTTCTGAATAAAATCATAAGTAGCATTAAAACTTCCAAATTCCTGTTATGTTTGAAGTGGTTTCTGCAAGACTGTCCAAACAATACTGAGTTGAATAAAAATGTTACATGTAGTGACTCTCTCATATATGACTGTCTGTAAGAATAAGAAACAGCCAAATATAATTCATTCATTGTTTGCAACCCTGTAAGAATGATACAACTGGGAACATCATGTTCACAGCTGGTTTACATGTTATTCATATTATTGGCCTATTTCATCTTCTTGTGTCTTCTCCTGCTTTCTGAAACTGCAGTCTTCCATTGTCTGCACGTACTGTAGCCAGTAACTGAAACTTGATCAGTGTACAGAGTATACCAAAATTCTGTCTCAATTTGGTTCCCCTCCTCTGTTGCAGTTCTGAATAGCCCTGGCTTTGGGTCTGAACTTAATTTTTATTAACAGTGATATTGACAGTACAAACCTTTCCCCTAATATCATTGTATTCATGTACAATACTGATTCCAAGACAGTTCAAACCAGCTATCCTTTCTGGAGTTGCCCATGGTTTTCCTCAGTTCCCACAGGCAAATGCCAGGATAGTACCTTAAATTAAGCTATGACCACTTTCTTCCACATTCTTTCCAATTCATTAATCACTATCATCCTCTCATTTGAAAAACTACAATCTGAGCTACTGAAAAAGTGTTGTTAAGGAATACATAAATGAATAGATTGTTCAAGTCACCAAAACTACCATTGCATTCAACTGTCCTAGTAAATATTTCCTATCTATAAAGTAATGTGTCAAATCTCAAAATATCAAGGTCGAACAAAAAATATATATCTACTAAACATATATAACACTTCCTAAGAAACAGAAACAAAAATGACAAAATGTGTGAACCGCAAGAGAAGGATAAATGGAGAATCAGGATTATAAGTACCAACACAGCTTTTTTTGTGGAAATGTGGGAAAATATGAATTAATCCCTTAGAAGGAAAAAATTAATTCTCAGAGAATGGCCTTCCTGAACACAAAAAAATGGTCATACAGAAATTATTATATAGTAAGAATTTAGTCCAATAACATATATGTTTTGTTATCTCCCATGTTACCAAGTACACTGACAAAGAGAAGAGCACAGTAGAATATATTTCACAGCACTACTGACAAAAGCTTGAACATATTATAAAGAGCATTATTTACCAATCCATTATTCATTATATTTAGGCCACATGCAATTGTGTGTGTATAACTTGATTCCTAATGGTGAACACATAAAACATACATGCCTGCTCTTCATATTACCGAGAACAACTTTATATCCAAACCCATGTATACTGATTGAGTATAATGTGTCATATTTTTGTAATAAAACATTTACCATCAACATACTCCATTTACCACATGAAATAATTACATGCTCATCAAGTTTAGACTCTAATGCTTCATTAAAGAGCAGTTTGTTGGTTAGTTTCATAAACAATTCTTTGAACAGAACAGTTACAGCTTCAATGTGATTACATATACTATAAAATATTTTAATTTCATAATTATTACAATTTCCAAATAAATATCACACACATAATCACTTCTAACCATAGAAAGCCTTTCCTGTTGGCTACTCACATATATACATTCTTATGACTTCTGATTCCTATTTGCCATAAAAAAAAACACTTTATATTTTCTTGGTACAAAGATTTTGTTTCTATGATAATAGTTGGCAGACACAGAAAAATGGTCTTGGCAAGAACGTCGCTCTATGTAAAGGAACTCAAGAAAAGTCTTAAACAAATGCCACAGAACAAAGTACTTCTTGCCAAAATAACACGAACTCAGTCAAGAAGTTCCCCACCTTTTGTGGAACCTTAAAGTTAATTTCACACTGTTCCCCATCCAGAACCAGATATTCATTTACACCCTCCCACACTATTTCTTTAAGACCCATTTTAATATTTTCCTCTCATCTAAGATCAGGTCTTCCCAGTGGCCTCTTACCTTGATTTGCTGACCCTGGTGTATATTAATCTCTGCCATGCTTGCAACATGCCCACCCACTTGATCACACTAAAAATAATTCACGAAGACTACAAACTTCAAACCTCTTCATTATGCAATGCCCCAGCTTCCTGCTAAAATTTCCCTTTCAGGTCCAAATATTCTCCTCAGCTCCCTGTTGAAACACACTCAATCTAAGTTCTGTTATTTGGATACACCAAGCTTTACACCCATACAAAACAGCTGGTAACATTAGTTTTGTACATTTTAAGCCTTACATTTTCAGGCAGCAGAGAGGAAGTCAAAATGTCCTTACCTGAAACGCAGCAAGCATTCTCCATATTTAATCAGCTCCCAATTTCATCACAAATGTAATTATGATGTGTTCCTGTCATTCTCAAATATTTTAATTCTGCCACATATTAAAAGTATCTATTAAAGTAAATTATTTTAAAAAATCTAAAATATTAACACTTTTCAAACATATTCAACCATACAATATTTTAAGAATTAACAAGACATTAAATTAAAGAGTTTCACAGTTTTATATATCTGAAATCACACAATATTTTAAAGGACTTACACTGTAAATAAATTAAATTTAAAAAATAACAAGACTGTCTCAATGTCACTGAATCATCAAATTCCAAAGACCCAACACTGAAATGAAATCAAATTACATTAAAAATGTAACAAAAGTCTATTGCAAATATTTTTATTAATCACACAAAATACAAAGTTCCTTCACTGAAAATGAATTAAATTATAAAAACTAAGAAAATTATAAGTTCAACCAAACAACTGAAGTGTAAAGAACCTGTCAGCTGTCTTCTAGGTTGTCGCATGTCATAGGTGCTCATTAAGTTTCACCTCCATCTTCAAGTTTCAAGTCCACTTCTCACCCTGAAGATAAAGGCTGACAGTGGACTTAGAGTGTAAAGTTACTGATAAACAGATGCAAAAAGAAATATTTTCACAGGCATGTGTGTTAGATATTCAAATTTTTGTTACATGAATAATCTTCATTTGTAGCGTATAGTTGGGGTCATTAACGATGAAATTATGTTCAGACAGTTCTTGAACAGAACGAAAGTGACGGTAGCCAATAGTGAATACGTGCATTTCCTATAGTCAATATCTATTACCATTTGGCAGAGAAAATATCAAGCTTTCCAGATGCTTCCATCTCTAAAAACATAAGCAACAAGTTCTCATGCCAAATTTCACAACTTGATGGTGCAAACACAGAAGTACAATATAAACTAAAACCCAAACATGCAGAAACAAAGTTCAGCAGCTCAGTGGTCAATGGTCAATCCTTGTACCTCTGGAGGGGAAGAAGAAAATGTAACGTAACAAAGATCCTCATAAATTTCTTCCTCTTTGTCTTCAAACTGTGGACATTTGATTGTAAACTGCATCCAGCTACGATCGTTGTATTCCCAACTAATATTCTGGCAAGTGGGTAATACATCCCCACTGCTGAAAGTCAAAATACTAATAACATACACTGGAGTTGGACAAAATCACCAAACTCCGAAAACAAACAACACAAATTGCACACAGAAAAGCAGAATATCCATGTTGTAATACACAACACAAATTTCATCTGTTCTATCCTCTCTACAGGCACTAAAATTCTATCAACTGACACATCTCATTTCCAATTCCTTCACTTAAACTCAAAGTCAATTTCCAAATTTTCGATGCAAAAGTAGGTCAATTTACTTACACACTTCCTTACTTATATAAATTCACTGCACATAACCACAACAAATTCCTTTGAGGCTTATTTTATTTTTTAACCTAACATTCATATCCATGTAAACATTGCTTCTATAAGGGACCTAATCAATGCCAAAACATCTTGACCTCCTGATTTAAAAGCCCTTATGCCCATAGCAGGTAAGAAACCAAAAGCCTTTATACTCCTTCACTGTCATTTTCAACAGTTCATTTTCACACACTTTGAACCCGCTAGTTGGTAAATTTCTCCTTGTTTTATTTCCTATTCAACTCTTCAGTTTTCTAATATTTATCAAACTCAACTTTTATATATTCATATTTACCAAACTCACACTAAAGAAAATCTCACTTTCATTCACGTTCACTGACTGTAACATTACTATGAAAACATATTTTCTACTACTGCCAACCAATAAAGAAGCAATCTTCCAATTGCAAGACCAAATATTTAGGAACTTGTAATAAGTAAACTGTTAAATGAGGCATCCATCAAAAAATAATTCACTGTATTGATATTAAACTCTGTTTTTCAAGCATTTTGTTTTCAAACACTTGTAATCCATGTTCTATCCTTATATCACAAGACCACATTTAACAACTGCAAAAAGCAACTGATTAAAAAAATGTTTTATGTATCTTAATTCTGAATGTTTTTGAAAGTAGACAAGGTGATAATAGTTTCTGAAATCACTAATAACAAAAATTTCCAGAATTTATTCTCCTCCTTAACTTCATTATGAATCTCATTCTTGTTTGTTATTGTTGGCACAAATATAATTCTAAAATATTTTTTTAATTATGTACTGCTTACAATCATTTATACAACATTAAAGATTTTGATTTTGTGACATGCCAACACAGTTTTATCTAAACTATAAAAATATAGTAGTTAAAAGTAATGACACTTACTTTGAATTTAAATTTTTGTATATATCTTCCTGTGACGTACTGCGAATCTTGTGCACTGAGAAACCTCTGTAAATAAAGCCGTATTTTTAAAATGGCATTGAGAAAAGGAAAATGCAAAAACTGAACATATTTATTGTTACAGCCTAATTTAAATGACACTGCATGGTCTGACAACTATACATAATACTGAGACTACTTTAAAAGACCACCTACTACAAAAAGTATAAACCACAATATAACAATGTTTAAGCCAGCGTTAAAAGAGTATCTCCTATGTCACTCCTTCCACTCAGTAGAAGAATTTATACATACATGTAAGTAATAATGGTGATGTTCTCATCATAATTATTTTGCAGTAATACTGTAGTTCCAAAAGTCTGTAAATAGCTGTAATATCATTGTATTTATATTTCTACTAGAAACAAGTATTGTATTTATGCTATGACCTGTTCTACATCCTTGGCTTATGCCAAAAAAGATCTATGGAATATAAATAAATTCTATTCTATTCTATGAGTCCATAGGAAACCAGAGTGAATAAGAATTGTTCCCAAACATGCTAAAAGACATACGAATACAAAATCTATAACCACACTGCCTAAAAACCTTCTCTGTTCTTATGTCTAGATCCTACAAATAATAAATATTCAGTTTCATATATATTTAAAAGTCTAACAGATGCAATACTTGTTAAGCAAGTTCAATAAATAAAAGTGGAACTCACTGTATCTTCTTCCTTTGAACTTTCAAACAATTGGATAGCTTTGACAAAGTGTTCAGGACTCGATAAAAGTCTGTCAAGTCAAATAACATGGACGGCTCAAACAAGTCATTCTCTTTCAAGCCAAAGATGTCATGGCAGGCCTGCAAGAAGATCTTGATGTTCCGAAGGCACAGAAACTATAAAAAGAACAAAAATTATTTCTGTTCAGGTAAATACTTAAACTTAAACCAAACAAAGTAAAGGTGTGGAAGTATGACTGACACTTTTAACGCAAAGCATAGTTTGTACTGGGTTGCTCTTCTTGGTCCATGTGTGATGAAACCTTACATATAAGTAAAATTTGGAATATCATATATACCTGTTACTAAATTTATGGTGTATTTACAGTTATAACACCCAACACACTATTGTAATCTACAGAATTCTTTAAATCTGTGATCTAAACCGAGACTTCTATAAGTTTACAAAGACAAGACAAAAAGCATCCTATTTAATGTAACTACTCCCCGTATTGTAAACACACCGCCGTAAAACCTTAACATTACCATTCAACTACTTTCACTTGCGAAATAAAGTCCTACTACAAGGCCATTTTCATGACCGTAAAACTTACTTGTGCCAATTGTGGCTTTTGGTTGACATCTTTCATATCGATGCATCCTTGATCAAGAGTGTTTAATAAATTGCATAATAACACTCCATCTCGCAACGTATAAGCCAAATCCGAGCAGGAGGCTTCGGGCCAATTTGCTTTATGATCTTGACGCA